GGGAGGGGAGCATCTCTCCCACTTTCATTTCCGGACTGTCCAGCCAGCTCACATTCAATACATTTTAGGGGCTGAAGCTATTGATCTGCACATCTCTCTACCCGCACACAAACAAGCACACACTCTCTTCCACTCACATCTGTTTCTAAGTGCATTACGTTCCTAAGCCTGTCGGTCAGCACTCACCAACAGCACAAGGATGTAAAACAAGCCATTTAGTTTTCCACACAGAGGCAAACAGGCCACTTCACCTCCATTACTAGCGCTTTCAATGGCAAAGAAATAGCTTTCCATTTTCCAATAGAGTGCCTCACCCCACCTAATACACCTTAATGATGTCCAGGACATCCTCCTGCAGCGCTCTATTAAGAAATATTTCCCCATTGTTGGGCTTCAAAGGGAGAAAACCTGCAAATTGATTTGACTGACATTGCAAGAAAATAGGTTAAGAGAGTCAGTCACTTTTGCTGATTCAAGCACAGACCAAGAGGCAAAACACTGCAGCAGTGTTGTTGATAAAAGCAGGGGTCTGAAATTCAAGGTAATTAGGTTGATTAGGTTTGGGCTGTTTGCCCCCTAATAAAACTGGAGGCCTTTGTTTACTTCAAGTAGCCCCTCCTATCCACTCCCCTTCCTCAAAGATCACACAAGCAAACACTGACATCAATTTACATTTTAAACCAAATGTTGTCCCACCATGATGCCACATGGCAGAGGGTTCTTTGTATGATGAAAAGGTCACGTTTGTTTACATTCTCCACCCTCAGCAGAGACTGCCTGGGCTGTACTTATATTCGTACAGAAAGGCAGCTCTTTGGGGAGTTAAAGCAACTAGATGTAATGTAACAAATTGATACACATTGGACTATTGGACTTGCTATTAGGTAACAAGTTATTTAGTAGCCTACGCACATAAAAAGAACTTTTAAAAAGAGGTGCTGGATTAGCCTGGATATAAAACAATCCAAGACAATAATCAGATTGGTATGGTGTATTACAAGATATACATTCTGCAAAGGCACTGTACAATCTTCTAAAATTGGTTTGCAATATAGAAGCTACAATGCTATTTTGTAGCTAAACAGCCCAGTGAGCACCATTGATTAAATGCTTACTATTGCAACCCCCTTGTAAAATTGAATTATCAGCATGTAGTCATGTACAGCTGTGAAATGTGGTGGTATGTCCTGTAGTGCTGCTAGTGGACTGTCAATGGTGGCCTTTCTGCTGCAACTGTATCTGCAAATATGAATTCGACATGAACAGATTACAACCTAAAAAGAGGAAATAGACATTCACTTTAAAATACCCAAAGAGATCATTACACCACGCTTGTCATTAGCCCTAGCAATCGTGGATGCATTTACTGTATTTGGAAAAAGAGTATCCTCCTCACCTGGCCAACCTCGCCGATCCCTCCCGAGCCGTCGATCCGGGGACGCTTGCACTCCGCCCCGGTAGAGTCCACCAGAGCAGCCGCTGTCTGTCCGTCGGGCTCCGGGTCTCCGCGCTTCATGCCCCGGACAACCGCAGCAGGCCCGCCCACGTTAGGGTGCACCCCGGCCATGGGGTCCAGCTCTCTATCCCGGTCCATGAGACCCCGGGATACAGGCAGCATGATGGATGCAACGTCGGTAGACATTAACATTTAAAAATCTTCTTTTGTTCCTTGTCTTTTGCTAAACTGGGGGTGAAAGAGACTGCCTAATCCTGTGCACCTTTGTGCTTTAAGTCAGTCTGTGGACGGTGTTCCACTGCAGATCAAATTGTCCAATAATTCTGCAAATGAGCCTCTACTGTATTCTCTACTGGGCCTTTGTATGACCCCCCTGAAGAGTTGAACTGTTTTGTCTCTCTGGTTTAAGAATGTAATCTATCCACCGCGTTTGTTTAAAAAAACAAAAAGCTCGTAAACGCAGTTTTTACCTTACTGCAAAACAGAGTGTCTCAATCCAAACATGTCCCCCTAAAATACCAGCAGCTTTGTATCGCGTTTGCTGACCGTGTATGTATTTACTGCAGGGCTGCCTAAGAGGCCTACGTTATTTCAGATCATAACACGCCAATTAAATAAACACGGATTAAAACAATGGCTCGTGAGCATAACCTACCGCCCAATTTCCATTTGGCCTCGTCTTGTTTCTCTACGAGCCGTCTGTTTTTTAAGAGCACAACATCAACATCCTACGGCAACCTCAAGACGAAAGAAACCTCAACATGTCTTCCCTGTCGCCTTTTTCCTCCCTGTCTATTAGCCACAGACTTGCACCAAAGAGCAGAGGTTCACTGAAAGTCAATCCGCGTCAGGAGCTCTCTCTTCCCCCCATGTTAGTCCGCAAGTCTGCGTGAAAAGGAGATACGATTTCAACCCCAAAAAAAACAGCAACCAAACGGACGGAGGTGTTGCGTTGTTTCCTTCCTCTCTCTCGTTCTCGCCTATAATTTTCTTTCCTCTCTCCGTTTTCCCGGTGTGATCTTGTAGCGTGTGTGTTACAGAAAGGAAATTGTCCTCCCTCCTCCCCTCTTGGTTTAGTCCTTCCCCTCCTCCTATCTTCCGCTCTCCCTTTGAACGCTGAGCCAGGCAGCCATGCAGCCTGCAGAATACACGCAGTGTGCCGCAGTGCTTCCATACATTTCACCGAGGGGAGGTGTGTGCGCATATGTGTGTGGGGGGGGGGGTCTTATGGCAGTGAGACGACCACGCTGTCACAGTATAAACCTAAGCCTTTAAATCATGTGTTCATTTCGCTATTGTTTTTTTACCGGTACATCATTTCCAACATTTATCTTAATGAAGCCGTTTTTACAAAAAACGTGTTTATTGGCGGTCACATTACATGGCAGAATAACAGAGAGTCTGGTCTTATCAAGTCCAGCTCTAGAAGATTTCATTCCCAACTCATTACACAACCAATAGGCCAAGGTCTTCACACTAGCACAGCTGTGAGTCATGCAGCATGGAGTACCTTGTGTTCCTCTGGCATTTTTATTGCTTGGATGACACCCAGTGGTCAAAGGCTACCATGGGAAGCAAATACTTCAAAGGCAATTTGCTGTAGCAAATTATAGGCCTAATACAAGCAAAATATGATTTCAAAAGTCTCCCATTTGACTTGCAGGGCGTGAGAGTGGTTAGCCTCCCCTGACTACACCACCAATCTCATGCTGAACATGCCAAGGTGCCAGTACAGTATGTGTGTTCATGCTCACATTCAGGCACAAAATGCTCAACCGCAGGGTATAAAGAAAGTCTACACATTGTCTGCTCCAAATAAATACTTTATTTGTCTGTCTCTAGTTCCTCTTGCCTGAGAAAGATCTTGTAGATGGAAATGTCTCCCTGAAAAGAGAAATAAACAATGTATATGGACATTGTGCAGCCTCCTTTGCGTCTGCCCTTACATAGTTACCATATACAACCTTTATGAAAGAGGAAAATGCATGTGCTCTTTCTGGGTTAGCAGAAAGATCACTCACATTTTGTTACATAGGAAGTTAAAGCCAGGAGATCATCTGCTAAGCTTTGCATAAAGACTGGGAGTGAGGGGAAACCGCTATTTCTACAAAAAAAACATAATCCACTTAGCAGCACCTTTAAAAAAGGACAAATTGTGCTTTTACTAGTAGTATTTGTTGGACCATTTATTTTGAGCTGTGACTTCCAAGAAGGTTCCATTCCTTGCCACCCATAGACTGTATATATAAAGTTGCCACCCTGTAAACCAAATAGGCAACAAATTGCTACTTTTGCACTTTGGTTCTTCAACAAATAAACAAACATACTGGCTATGTTTGAACTAAAATGGCTGTTGGATGGTGCAGACCTCCACCTAAAATAGGTGTACATGTACATCAGCCCCATTGTCTGAATCCACTCCTACATTGGAAATACACGCATACATGCTTTGCTTAAGTGTCAGAGGGGATGACAGGCAGAAGACAAAGTCAGGCCAGCTGTTTCCAACAGTTTTAGCTAAGCTAAGCAGCTGTTAGTTAGAGCCTTATAAAACATGTGTATACTCTATTAGAACAGCTGTTCGGGTGGTCCAATACTTTTTTAAATCCCCTCCCCCCTCACAGCAAATTAGCTGAGGGCTTTTGGTAACTTTCCAAACCATCAATCAATCCTGCGTACACATCCATTTTACAGATGTGTGGATGGAGAAATGAACCAAGGTTTAAACTTCTCTTTTGTCACAAACTATTTGTCACTTTATGTGAAAAAAAAAGTAACAAATAGTCAACACGATGAAAGAACTTCAGGAGAGACCATCTGAATATGTGCACTGTAAATGCACAGGAAAAAAGCAAGGTTAGGGACACAAGTTGAACATTTAAAAAGCTATAAACTGTCTGTGCAGCAAATCGGCTTCATGCACTATAGTGTAACTATGTCAAATATCATTAACCACTTCAAATAAAATAAAAAATACAATTTGTATCAGAATTACCTGACAAATTAGCACGCAGTTAAACTATATAATGTTCCAACTGAGTAATCTGTCCATATGTGTGTGATCAAATTTGGGTGTAAATTTGTTAAAGTTCCAGACTTCATCCCCATACTGATGTTTGGATAGGAATGCTTTTCTGGACATTAAATATATGTTCTTTGGATAAGAATACACTTACACAAACACCAATAGAACTTAAACTTCTGCCTTAAACAATTAGACTGACTGTGGTCATGGTCATTATAGACACTTAAAACCAACTTTATTGTGTTTTGACATTTTAAGTGTTTGGAAATTGTTTTATGCACATTTCTTGTCTTTCTACCTTTTTTACAGAACACTGGTTAATAGCAAAAGCTTTAGTTATCTTGCTCAAACTTATGTTGCTGTAAACCTTCTGTATGTTTTACATAGAGGGCAGAACAGCACAGCAGTCTCAACCATGTTTATGTAAAAGATACTGCCTCCCTGTTTCTGTGTGAGTGCCACTTCCTGCTGTAAAACCTAGTGGCTGCAAGCTCAGGCACAAACACACACACTCAGTCAGTCCTTTGAGAGCTTTTATTGGCGGTTGATAAAAGTGATGTCCAGATCTGAAAAGGAGGAGAAGAGAGGAGATGTGTTCAGTATAAAACAATAACATTGTGTTTCTACATGAACAAAACACATTAGTACTGCATATCAGATCATAATCATGACCATCATCTCAACCAACTTTAATTGTCTTCCATGTCGTAACTGAAAAACAGGAAATGGATCAGTCTTGATAAATAATTCAAAATTCTCCTCATTACTAAATCATTGCCCTGCTGTCAAGTAGAACTGCAGCTACTTCAGGCTCTCAGGCGGTTTTCAGTGAGGAGGGTTGTAATGGAGCTCCTTCATGTGTGTTTTCATGTCATCTTCAAAGTTCTCTAAGTGCGTGGTGGGTGATATGAGGACAGAGTGCACATTTTCCCTCACCGTCACTGGCCAAAGCATCCCTCCACACAAGGCCCGTCCCGTGGCGAGCAGATTTCAGTCGAACACATGAAGTAGATCTGAGAGGGAGGGGAAAGAAGAGCAGGATTTGGATGTAGAGTCCAGTCCCGAGAGTGTGCAGCATACTATGACTAACAGCTGCTACCAATTGAGATTTGGCCACACTTTGCAGTTTACAAAATGGCCTCGCCACATGTCCTTGCAATGAATGCTGATTTAGAGATACAGCTGTCAATGGTTTCATTCTCCATGGACTTAATGCTCATTTTAAAAAGGCACACAGCCATATACGTTTTACATTTATTTTCTCCCAAGAAAAAATACATATAAAGTAAAGGTTCCAATGCCAACAGCCACTATCAGATAAGATTACATTGATGCTCAACTACTCTAGGCAGACAGCTGCACGTTTGAAAGGTTTTCCATTGCTCGAAAACATAAAAACTATAGGGGAAGTGGGCTTAGAGCATTGTGAGACATTTAGGGAAATACGCATATTTGTTCTCTTGCCAAAAGTTAGACAAGAAGATTGATACCACCATTAAATATGAAGCTCGGGCCAATAACTGATTAGCTAAGCTAAGCACAGAAATGTGGCACAGAAATCCCTGAACAAGCACTTTATAACACTATTAAACCACAACCTGTCATTTTTGTACACTTCAGCTTTTGTATGGATTAAAGAAAACCAAATAAAATGTGTTAATTGGTGAACTTTAGATTTGTGGGGACAGAATTTAAACAAATTAATAGAATCCAAGAGTCTCTGCTTATGCGTACCTCCTCGTCCGGGTCCTTAAAGTCGCCGTCAGGAAGGAACTGGAAGGTGCTGATGGTGAAATGGTGGGTCTGAGCCTGAGGAGAGGGAGGCCGAGGATCAGAGAGCACAGCTTGCTGCAGGGCTGGATCCAAGGGGTTGGGACACCTATGAAGTGAAAATGTGTCATTGGGCATCACAATTATACTTCCCTGATATTTGCAGTTATCTGAGTGAAATGCACTTTCTAAATGTGTTGTGTTCCATCTTCAGTAAGCTTTTCCTCAATATTTTGTTGTTGATGTTCCGCTTACAGAAACATTTGGACATACCCGTTGTAAAGCAGCATCCAAACAGCCTTCCCAGAGCGGGGGTAGGCCACACAGAAGTTCACCAGCAGCACCAAACTGGGATCCGGGGCGTTGAGAAGCCGCACTTCCAGGTAGAGGGGTTTCCCCAGCAGCATTTGCAGGGGCTGGTGATACTGAGGGTAGAAGCTGCTGTACTGCGCGTCTGGGATGAGGGTTGTTGGGTTAGAAGGAGGTTATTTGTGAAGCACATTCCACACACTCAATGCTATTTCTCATACAGCTGATCAGGAGATGTTTGAATTAGAACATTTTATTTTTTATTCCTGTGTCGGGAGACACAGGAATAAAACAGCACAATATTAGAAGTTCTTAGCTGTACAAAGCAGTAGTAAGTATTGAAATAAAGACACCTACCTTTGGCAATCCTGAGCTGCACTCCAAACACCCCCTGTGTCTGAACTTCAGATCCAAGAGTGGGAGTTTTAACCAAGTAGCTCACACTCAGAACGGTGCCTGGCAGAAACCTGCACTCCACCAACAACCTAAAAATGAGACGGATAACTTAATAGATATACAGCATGCTTCTGTTTTTCTGTTTTAGTTTTTTTGGCATTTTTCCTTAGCAGGAATTAAACCAGAAACATTATGATTTAAATGGCAAACCATTGGACTGGCTGGTAACTAAGTGGAGCATTTAGCAGCTCAAGAACATTTCTCTTAGGGGTTGGAAGAGACCAAAAAACTAAGAGGGATAAATACTGGGCTATGATTCCTCAGGTGGACACAAGCACGACTCTAAATTAAGGAAAATGTTTCTCCATAACTGCTGGATGAGTATATGAGAAACAAGTTTGCTCCATTAACCTAAGAGATGATATGTCATATCAAGCAAGTGTAACTAATCTTAATGTGGAGCTTAATGAAACTGACAATAGATCAACTAAATCTAGTTTTGCCTTTGCTCAAAAGAAAATGCAAAAGTCAGGAAACTTTTACTCTGATAGTAAAAAACAACATGCTCCAACCTGACAGGAGAATCCCTTGTGATGGTGCCGTAGTTGAGGCTGAGTGCTTGAACCTTGTTTATGATCTCCACCATGTAGATCACCGTTTTTCCCGCCATCTGTCAGGACACAATCGGACATGTCACTTATTATGTGGACATTAATAGTTTTTAAATAGTCCATGATCAGTAAGGTAACACAGGAAAACGTACAGTTTGCTTATTTTAACCTCTGCCAAAAAAGTAATATTTTTGGTTCTGTTTTTTTGTCAGCAGGATTAATGCAAAGCTACTCGCCCAATTTTAAAGAAACTTGAAAGGGTGTACTGTGGGCCAAGTAAAGCTTGGGAGCGCTCTTCTCGTAACTAGTTAATATGGGTATAAATAAAGTAATAATAATTATAATATCACCAGACAAGTCCTTTAATCATTATTATATTTAGTAAAACCAATGGTCCAGACATACATTTACTACTCGGGTTCTTTCTCAACTTTAAAACAAATATTTTCATTCATAAAAGCATACTAATCTGCGTGTCCCACAGCCATCCATCGGGATCTTGAACAAGGCGTAGTCGGAAGTCACTCTCTCAGGTTTGCAGGTGGAGTTGCCAGCAGCGACAAGCATGGCAGGGGAAAGAGGGGGGTCCGTGAGGGAGGCCGGCACGGAGAAGACAAAGTGGCGGTCAATAGTGCATTCTGGAGGAGGACACAAACATGCAGTCATGTAAAGGTCAGATGAACAAAAGGTCAGTAATCTCAGGAGGCAGCTGATAATGAGACCCAAGGTATCTTATACCCTTTCCTCATTCTGTGCCTCTTCCAGCTTGAATGATGCTAAGCTGGCCCTAAATAGGCCACTTTACATATTCACCAGCTGTATTGCTAATAATTACACACACACAAAAAGCTAAACTGTACTCAGCTAAGTGGCTGGAAAAGCCAGCGGGACACAAACTACTCACCATCCATGGGGTAGTAGCAGGCAGGGGGGAGCTTGCTGAAGCAGCAGCCCACGGAGAGGCACTGTCGCTGGGATACAGAGCGGGGTCCGCAGGGGAGACGCTGTTCGATGGGAAGGTTGCACTCTGAGGGACAGCACGACAAATGTCAGCTGCATCAGTTAAAATAACTCTGAATGGCCGGGAGAAAACACCCTTTGGCAAATTGAATAGCCTTTCAGAGGTGTAAACATAAAATCAATTTACCTTGTTCAGACCTTGGGATGTCAACTGGACAGGAAAGCCGAGCCTTCCGTTGCCCATGTAGCGTCACGTAGACGACAGTGATGATGTACAATTTACCCTTTTAGTGAAAAATGTTCATACAATAGTTAATGGGCACAGCAAATGGTCAATTAAACAAAAGGTCATGTGCTCAGTGTGAAAGCTGAGTCAATACTTGCCTGCACACTCATGTGGCAGCGCGAGTGCAACTCCAGACTCAAAAGGTTTTTGCCATCTTTGCCTTTTCTTGCAGAATACCCACAGTCCTTTGGGGCATCCTGGAGGATCATCTGGTTCCCTTTGATGTCTGAAGAAGTAAATGTGCAAATATACAATTGTGTTTTTGTGTAGACTTCAAAATGGCACAATTACAGCCCTCAGCATGGCAAGGCAGCAAGTTTTAAATGCATCCCAGTCAAAACAAAAACCAAGACCTACCTTTTCCTCCTTGAACTGTACACCAGAGAGGCCCCCCTGAATCAATTCAAGTCATGCAGACCTGATGGCAACCATATGCAACTCCAATATACACATGCACACACCTTTAACAACAATTCCTGAGATGGGACCGGGGGCGAGCTCCACAGCCATCTGATAGGAGGAGCAGAAGACTTTAGGCTTTGGGACAACAGGGGTCGGGCTGACCTTGGCGTTGGGGGTGCTGGCTGGTGTAGGAAACACTGATGGGGTAACTACTGCAGGAGGGGCAGTTTGATACGGGCATTGCAGGTCCAGAGTCCTATACTGCCCCATGGAAAGGTCCCAAAACCGCAGTGGTAAGGAAATAGTCGTGGGAGTCTAAAGAAAAAGAGATCAATAAAGTCAGTATGAGCCACCACGCATGTTTTCCTTTCCAACTGCATTTAAAAATAGAGCCTGCAAGCTGAGATCAACTCACAAAAATCCCTGAATTCATACCAGTTTTGCTGCACAGAACATAAAAAAACGCCACAACGTACACAAGCATGCAGAGCTAATGCTGCATATGTTCCATATGGGATTAATCGTACAAATTTGAGCTGCTGACTGGGAAAAACTGCTGGTTCGTATTATACAAGCAGGACGGGTGTAAATCGCTGTAATGTCAACCCAAGAGAAACCAACCTCCAGCGTCAGCAATCTAATTTCTACTTTGTGGTGTCATTGTTTTGGACTTTGTTTAGGCAAATTAAACACTTCACAATATAATGTAGTGTAATAAAATCACCACCAAAAACTACACACTCAAAAAGGAAAGCTCATGACCTCTTCAACACCTCAATTACATCTTTCCATCTGGTTTGTCTCCGTCTTATTACAGTTATTGAGAGTCTATTGGTATTTTATATGGACCAAAAACACCTTCACCAGAGGAAAGAGCAGGACTTTCTCTTTTCATTGCAAGTTAAAATATGTTGATCCTACTCACCTGTCACTAAGACTTGATAGTGTCCAAAAACTGAATTGAACCCATGAGCTTCTCAAATACCAACGTTTATCTTAAAGTATCCTGATTTCATAAAGGCAGATATAAAGCCATTTCATGGAGACTTCTAAAAGATACAAATAATTCCTACAAAATGGTTATATTGTCATTAGACCTCTAAACTACATTATTACTACATTAAGAAATAATTTATTTAAAAAGGATCTGAATACAATATTCAGACTCAGAGCATATCTATGATTAAAGGGATGGCCTCCACAAGGCTGTCAACATGGCAACGCACAGCCGTACTGGCTATGCAAGCAAAGAACAGAGAAGCTCCAATTACAAACACACGAGGGAGAGCGACTTCATTCTCTGCTCAGGTAGACATCTCCCCACAATATATCTTCATAGCAAATTGTTGACTTTTAAAAAAGGCACTGAATATATTGAGATCCTTTCAAATAAAGACTGGGACAGAGTTAAACTAAAGTAATTATATAAAAGAGGACATTTTCAGGTGTTGACAAGGCATTATGGAGGATCTCACCCATTGCTGGCTGTGGCAGGCAGGCAGAGGAGAGTGAAGGAATACCCCAGAGCCCTCTGCTATCTGCAGCATGTACCTACACACCGGAGACACACTGGAGACTAACAGCCACGTCATCATTTCGTCTGTTAGAAACAAGGATTGTTAGATAGATGAGATGATATGACACACAATTCATGTAATTTAATTTTAGCAGTAAAAGCTGATCTATGCACACTAATGCAGTGGAGTGTTTCTGACATGAAAAGCCACAAGTCGTTCCAACACGGAGAGCCTCTTTGTTTACACACACACTGACCTTTGACCTGGATGGATTCTGGGTGAGCAAAAGGCAAGAAGACAACTATCGCCCCCATCAGACACTGGAAATGCTGTGGAGTGGGTGCAGCTGTAGGGGAAACTGGATAACTTGTGTAGGTAGGAGTAGTAGGGATCGTAGTGGTACTGGTGGAGGTGGTTGGAGGATGTGTCACTGGATGATGGGGGTACGATGGAAGGTTGTGTGGCGGGTAGGGAGGATGGTAGTAGGGATAATAGGGATACGGGGGGTGGACATACATGGTGTGAGTGTTGGGTTGAGTGGTTGGTGTATGAGTTTCCTGAGTAACTGTCTGAGCCATCTCGTTGCCATGTGGCGGAGCTGTGATATGTGGAAAATAAATTGTTTCTTTAGGGTAAGACTGGTGGAAGGGATAGCTGGGAAGGTCGGGCTGTTTGGGAACCATTGTCCTAGTGATTGTAGGTGGAACAGGGGAAGGTGTAGTGATGGCAGGATGTGAAGTAGGAGCAGGCTGCACCCCAACACCAGGGTTGGAAAACAGTCCATGATCGTACAAATTAAAAAAAGCGGGAGGATAGAATGGATAGACAGGGTACTGTAGACCAGCAGGTTGTTTCGGTGACAGCGGGCTGGGTGTGAGAGGAGCTGGTGCCTGGGTCACTGGTGCCGCAGTGGGTTCAGGATAATAGGGCATCTGAAGATAATACTGAGGGTAATAAAGACTTGCTGGCTGTTTGGGTGGGTGGGTAGCTGGAGGGGATGTGGGATGAGGGGTGTGGGCAGGTTGTTTCGGTGACAGCGGGCTGGGTGTGAGAGGAGCTGGTGCCTGGGTCACTGGTGCCGCAGTGGGTTCAGGATAATAGGGCATCTGAAGATAATACTGAGGGTAATAAAGACTTGCTGGCTGTTTGGGTGGGTGGGTAGCTGGAGGGGATGTGGGATGAGGGGTGTGGGCAGGTTGTGGTCCAGAAGGGAAGACCTGGGGAAACGGTGGGTACTGGAATGCAGGATCGGGATCATTGGGGAAGTGAGGAAGCTGAGCAAAATGCTCCTGGGTTGTAGGCTGAGGAGGAGTAGTAGTAGTAGTAGGAGGAGGGGTGGTGGTGGTTGCAGGGCTAACAGTATCTGGGTTGTAGGGAAACTGAGGATTAACTGGGCAGGAGAGGATGTATATCTGATCATCTAATACAAACTGGAGATGAAGACCACCCTGAAAAACAGCATCACATCAAAATATAATCAGTACAAGCCAGCAGCCCACCACATACTCCATTCAAGTTAAATAACTTACTGAATGTGTGATACAAGCAGCACTGTAGGAGATGAAGAAGGCGAGATTCCCAGGACTGGAGGAGACACGATACGCGCACTCTTGAGATACAAACGGACCCCAACCTCCATTGACTGTAAAACATTTAACACGTGTTTTTCGAGAGGGCATATTGGCAATATGGGAGATTTAATAACCTTACTGGCTAACTATATTTAAAATGTGGCTCTTTTTAGAATAACATAATGAATAATAAAACAAAGATCAGTATATCTCCACTATATTGGTAGAAATGCTGAGATGGCTTTGAGACAGCATAGAGATCTTAATGCAAGAATATGAACCAGTCACTCTTATTTTTACAAATCCATACATTCACATTGAAAACATAATAAATATTAGCATTGATTTCAGGGGAAATTGAGATAAATATTTTTCTAGTGTTGGTTACTGTACATGTAGTTCAATTCCTTACTGAATAATAAAATATATTGTCAAATATTTATGTATAAAATATTTTAAAAGGGTTCATCTTAATTAACCATGTCTGTTTTTCTTTCATTCTATTGCGTTTATTTTACATGTTGTTCATTTCTAATCACGTAATCTCTAGCTAAATAACTATCTCAGAGTTTAGCCTGTTTTACCTTGACATATCAGATTATATTATTTTTCAGGAAAATGTCAGAAAAAAAATTAATCATTAGGGAAATTGTGGACCCATAACATTTAAAGAAAATGTATGACCTTTTTATTTCCCAAAGAGCAAACAATTGATAATGTTTCAAAGCCATCTCCATGCTGACAAGAATATTATCTTGTTGTATTCATTATTTATTTTGGCCTAAAAGTATACACATTTAAATAGATGTGAATCCAAAACCATTATGTCTGAAGAAACTGCATTTAGCCTGAAAAAAACCGTAGCATGTAAACACGGCTAAATGTAGATCCATCCCTTGTCAGATTTAAATCTAAACCTCAATTATTCTTCAGATAAAATGAACAAATTCATTAAAAAGGGCTAGTTTGTTATCTATGTAGATTATATTATACTAAGATATATAGTACTAGGCAAACAAAGCAAAGACACTTTACAATTCAAGTTGTTGTAATAAAAAACAAGTACTTTGTCAAACAACTCAGTATTAAATCACAGATTACCCCAACGTACCTACGACTCCCAGTAACTGTATATCCTGCTCCTGCATCTGCAATGCCATGCCGTAGGGTGAGCAGAACACCCAGGGGGCCGAGTGGGAGGATGAGGGGACAGGAGAGGACGCTTGCACGGGACAGGAGAGCTTCAGTGGGCTGCCCCACCACAACATGGGCAGCACATAACTGCCATTCTGACAGAGAGAAACATACAGGGGGTGATGAATACAGGACAAGGGAATCACTGGTGGAGATATAATGCAGGTGCTACTGCTGCTGCTGCTGGTACCTCCTGTGTAACGTAACATGCACCATAAGGCACCATCATCTCGAGGTCACTCCATGACGTCTTCACCAAGTAACCACAGTATGGAGGTAACTGGGACAGGGAGATTGGAGAAGCTGTCCCTGTAAGAGAAAATGTATTTAAAATGTGGATTGGACGGTTTAGGCATTAATCAAGCTAAAATACCAAACATCTGCTAGCTCCTTAAATGTGAGGATTTTCAGATTATTTGATTTTGATTATGTTTGTAATTGATTTGTTGCACATAACTAGCAATTTCAGGACTCTGGGAAATTGTAATGGGCTTTTCTAATTAGTTTCTGGCAATTAACAGAATAAACAAATTATAAATGTAATTGAAAAACAGCAGAGAGAAAGACAATTAAAATAGGGGTTACTTGAAGTCATGGTACATTTTAAGAAACATCAATAGTACTGTATTGATTCTCACCACAAAGACTAGCATTTCATGTAGATATTCATTACCTGTATATAAAATATGTTCTGCTGTTCTAAAAAGTTCCTTCATAACATTTCCATTTTCCACCCAAGCTGATAAAAACATTCAAACAGCAGTGCACCGCCTTCATACATCTTACCTCTGTCTACTAACAGGTGTGTGAATTCTTCTCCAGCGGCAGTGAAGGTCATGACACCATCATCACACTTCACTAAGGGGCTCATAGCTAGCCACTTTGATAAATATGGACTGGAGGTGGGGCCAGACACCTTCCCCTGCACATGAAAACCTAAAAGGATATAAAACAGCATGTTAACAAACTGTAGAATAGTTTACACTTTACAGCTCCCCGTCTGAGCACTCCTTGACAATGGTAAAAGAAGATCTTTAGTAGTAACAATATAATAGTATCAGATTACATACTGTATTTCTTTCCAGAAAACATCCTAAAAAGAAAATATATTCAAGATCTAAATTATCTTTCAAACACTGCTTTCAGTATTTCAAATGTTGGTTTATTTATTCATTTGGTTGGCCTTAAACTAGTAAAATCTAAATACAGTGACTTCAAAACTAGTTTTTTTACAATAATGAACGATAAATTGAAGCCAATACAGCTATATTGGTGATATTTAAGTCTATACTTCAATTATTATTATTAAGATACAAATGGGTCTCAACTTATCAGAAGCAGGGATGTCGTTTTTTTAAATTCAAGATTCAAGGCTTTTATTGTCATTCGTACATAGCTACAGTGTAGTTATGTCGATGAAAATCTTAGGTCCCAGGCTCCTCAAACAGTGCAATAAAACAGATAAAATAGTGCAAGTAAATACAATAAAATAGAATAGAAGTAGAGCCATAAGAGTCTATACAAGTGATACATAATTTGTCATTTGTAAGTTGCAAACAGGTAAATGTTATGGTCAAAAACTTGGGCCTACATTACCCACAAAAGCAACCCCACTACTGTAATGGGCATCAGGTGTTTTTGCAGTAGCGGCTAATTTAGCCTCAAGCTGCTAACCTCCAACGGACTGGAAATGGTGAGCAACAGAGGTCTTATCAACTCACTTACAGTATTTCTCGTCCACAGACTCTGAGTTTTGACTTGTCTCCAAACCTAGCCGACGCTGACTCAAGTGACACCTTGAGGTCAGTTCTTCACGCCACTGCCTCTGGAGCCACATTTATACAACTTAGTTTCACATATGCAGCTGTAGGCTCACCCTAAAACACTCGCAAATTAAATTAAAGTGCTAAAGTATGGGTTGTTTTTGTACCTGTAAAATCTGCTTGATAATCATTTTTCGAGGCAGAAGTCGAGGTCCTTTCAACCGCTCGGATGTGTCCGATAGTCCTAAACAGTCGATCATGACGCGTCGGTGCGCTGCCATGTGGGTCTGGTTCTCCGAGGGAAACAACAGATTCAGGCCGAAGCTCGGTGAGATCCGGCGGGTTGGATCTGGGCAAACCTGGGCCCTGCTGCTGGGAGTCGTTGTCATGAACTTGGTAAGCAGGTAAACCTTCCTTTCTTTGTCCTAAACTTACCGAATGACTTACTTGAAACGTGAACAAACACAGCGTTGCAATAAATGACAACAAAGTAATATAATCTCTTCTCTGTTTGCAAGACATGCTGTATTGTTGATGCTTTTTGGTCGCACTCCGGCTTCACCTTAACAAGAGGGCGATCAATTAAGAGTCATCAACAACGGACCAATGAGAAAGCTGCACAGATGGTAATGCTGGTAAGGAGCCAACACGGCTGAGTGCATCTTTTGGTAATCATAGTGACACTGACTTTACCCATTTATATTGAACATTTATTTCGGTCTAAAGTCATATAGAACTTGTCTATTGACGCACCAGTACAAACACAAAACAAGACGTGAATATTAAGGTCATGATGGAGCTTTCAAATAACTTGTTTCACGGTAAATTAGGTTACTGAAATCCCACAACATATGGCACGATGAACTTTATAAACAAATGTAAGGTTATTTGGTTGATTCATCATTAAAGCTGCTTTTTAGGACATTCTGCAACCAACTTCTGATGCTTTCTCATGAATATATTGTATCACATAATAATGTTTTATTTAAAATAAGAACACAATATTGAATCTGTCCTTTTTTATTTATAGATAACTTACATTTGGTCTTTTCCAAGTTAGAAAAAGAGGTTAGAAGACGCCCTATCCTAGACATCATGGGGTTAGAGGTTTTTGTAAGCAGGAGGTGGATGCTCCGATTCAAAGTTTGGTCCTGCTCAATGGTTCCCAGCCTTAGAGTTTGTGATCCCTTAACAAAGCAATGTGTACTTATTATGACCAATCCTCACAGGTCACCGATGTCTACTGTTGTGACTCATGTGCATTTCAACCAAAAGGTTTTGTTATTAAAAGTAAATAGTTAGTAATAGACTGGCAGTAATAGACAATGATTTTGTATATGAGGTAGAGGACTGAAAGCTGAACTGATAGTGCAGTATGAGTCATGGTGGAGGGAAAATGTGACTGTGGTGGAGTTTCTCCCTTATTGTGTTGCTGCAGATTGGCAACAGGCCGTATCGGGGTGGACCGGCTGTAATCCTGGGTGTCCAGAGGCAACGAGAGTCTCTGAAATGTATCTGAAAAGCTCAGACTTTTTTAACCTAAAGCCTGTAGTGATGGCTTTGGGAAACGATTGGATGTTACTGGAATGTGCACTGACAGTTCAAAGGAAGGCAGAGCTGGGGAGTGTACAGTAGCAGACAGGGATTTGTTGTGGAAAGTTGTATGCTGCGTAACAATTTCAGCACGTTGTTGCTGCACGTGGCCTCTGTAACACTAATGGCCTTTTCAGAAAATGTGGTTTAAGCTGTGCTTGGGGCTGTCTTCATATCTATCAAACTGGCGTACCAACATACTCCCAATGACAAGGCTACATGCGGAAGAGGAGCAGGTATATTGCTTAGCATGTTCAACATTTTAGAGTAGCATTTTAGCAAATATGCTAATTCGTATTAAACACAAAGTATGCAGTACGTTAGTATGCCATTTCAAATACAGCCTTAGTCATAAACCAAACGGTGGGCCGACTGCTTTTTAAACCAGAAAAAACAAACAGATGATGGTGCTGATGAATGTCAGAGGATCGCCAAAAGTTATCAATATAAATCTTCAGTGAAACATGAATGTCTGCACAAAAGGTCATGCCATCCATCAGGTAGTTGTAGATCAGTCTGGACCAAAGGGATGGACCAACACTCAAGTAATGATGTCATAAACCTCTAAAGGAAAGGTAGGAATATGTCATTTCATTTTAAAAGCCTAAGATGTCTACTTGGATATTACATTTCTTCAGGAGTAAAAATATAAATTATGTAAAAAATAAACACATGGATTTAATTATTTTGAGAATATTTCACTTTTTTAAATCAGGTCTTTCAGTAGCATCTACTTCTGTAAAATGTATTTCCAATGGATGCCCACTGCAAAAAGGATGTTAGATTGTACTTTCTGCAGAGGCCCACATGTTGTGATGGGAATAGAAAACTCCAGTGTCTCAGATGTGGTCCATGAGCACCCACTCACCGTTCACTGTGAGGATATGACCAACCATCAGGGCTCTGATGTAATGGTTTCAATTTTGACTTCTATTCAGAGTTACTGCCAGGAGAAAATACTTCCCCTTGTCTGTTCCTACACCCTGTGACAATAACACATCTCTCAAAATGATTTTCATCTCAAGAGTACTGAGACTTACAATTGTGGCTCTATTAGCGCCCATTCAGTTTTGCACTTAGTCATATAACAGAACATGTGAGAAATGTATTTACTCTCCAAGAGATATTTGGTTTCAATAGGTCTCATCCAGAATTGCTAGTCTTTAACTTACCTCTCCCCAGTTTTGCATTCTCATGTTAAAGAGCACTGTTACAAAGCTTCAATGTTTGGGAAAAAGACTACCAGGCAATCTTTGATACAGCATGTGTCTTGAAGATACTTCCAGAATTCTCAAAAATAACTTTGACGAGTAGGCTGAAAAAACTACAAATCAGCCTGAAATATAATAATATTTTAGTCGCTGGGGACATTTAACTACATTTGTACATTTACTATGATACTTAAAGTAAATTTTTCTGATTAAAAACAACATTTTTATGCAGGTAATTTACTTGTAATAGAGTATTTTTTAACAGTGTGGTATAACTATGTTTACTTAAGTAAAGAATCTGAATACTTCTTGCTCAAATTGTACAAAATACAAAAAAAAGGTTACATGTATACGATGATGTTCAATTCTATTTGCACATCTTCACACAGAAAAATGTGTTGATATTTTGCATGTGATTTCTAAAACGACCAAAAACATTATGTCCTTGACTCCTGGATTAGATATCACAGAAGAAAATTGGGTAAAAGGTTTTGAAGAGTCTTATTATGGAAGAACCTAATAATTATTAAATTACCTTCTAGGTGGCAAATGTTCCCTTTAACAAACAACTGTAGGAGAAGGGAGCCTTCTTTGTGCCAAACCACAAAGAATAAACATTCCCCTTTCTGTTTTACTTCAATCACAGCATCTGTACACGCTGTACTTTCTCTGCTTTCTGCATTGAACCATGTAAACTGCTTATTTAATTCTTGCTTCTGTATTATTTTACCGGCCACAGATGACCAGAGTGGGAAAGTGTCAGGATAATTCCTAATCCTGATATGTTTCCAGGTTACTGAGTGAATCTGTACTGTCAACAAATGAGGGAATGCTCTGTAAAAGAGCAAAGGGAAGCAATTATGGTATCCATCCTCATCCCACCTTCAGGGGATAAAGTAGCCATTGTAGTACGGGGATCAGGACTTCCTCAGTCCATTTGGTCTTCACTAGGAGTCACACAGGCCTGAGGGGAGATAAGACACAGGCCTATTAGGAGAAATATAATACCTTGAAATGTTCTTTTTACTGTTTTGTATGTACTGCTTCTTTGTAGAAGTTAGAAAACCCATAACTGCACAAGCTTTCTTTCATCTGAGACTGATGATAAAAGGATTTATGTGCACTGCTGCAAAGTAATCCCCTCATAACATAGTGTTATTTGACTGCAGCCAATAATAATACCAACCTGACAGTATCTATTTAAAATATGACAGTTAGTTTTTATCAGAAGAGTCAAATCACCTTTTACTGTTTCTGCTGGCCACCCTTGATAATGTAAATGAGTATTTCTATTCATGCCACCCTTTTGTGTTCTCGAGTCCGATGTCCAGAGGAAAAACTAAATGTCGTATAGTCAACTTGTGAGTTTATAAATGTCAGAAAAAGCTTCCTACGGGTATTATATGGATGACATTTCCAATGCAATGAAAGCTCAACCCACTGCCCTTGTAAAAAAAAAAGAACGCTTGGAAACACCAAGGATTTGAATGTCAGCACATATATATATATCTTTCCACCAAAAGTGTTTCAGAATTTGATTATTAAGAGCTCATGTAAGGGCACAATGAATGAGTTGATTTACTTTGGTTTATACGTGTACATGTAGGAAATGAACCCAGTGTGGGGAAAGATTAGACATTTTATGACAAATGTATAAAACAAGGTTTAACTGAACATTTACATGTGATTCACCACTTTGTTTGACTCAAAGTAATTGATATTTGTTAGTTTTCTGTTAAAATATATTTTATGTCGTTGTACAGTATGTTTTGGATGTCTTATGAAAACTTTGGGAATATCATCTTAATCTGCAAATATGAGCTGGAAAATAAAGTAGGTTTATTTCATGCTGAGAATCTGTTTTTTTGCCAAGTAGGATTTTACATACAAGGGTTTTGTTGTGGTGTATAGCGGTGCATACATTAACACTGTCTTCTACACTCACTAAACATGCTCCACAGAAGCATATCTCTGTCTCTGTTTTCCTCCCGCTCTGTTCACACTAAAATTGAATTTTTCCAAAATGATCTCCAGAGTCTGTTGATATTGAATTCCGTCAAGATCCGGGCAGTATTAATGGAGCTTTTTTAAAACTATGATGTCCTGTAGGCTGGCCAGGTGATGGTTGAGGTGCTGGCTGTCAGTAAAGTAGGACACCGTTTAGTCACCTCTATTTCATCTCAATGTTGTGAATAAATAATTCACATGTCTCTGTGAAAAAAACTGTCCTGTTGCAGAAATCTGATTATCATAGTGTTGCACAGCTTCTAGCCCACTTAACACACTCAACATGTGTTACTGCAATGAGAGCAGAATCAATGTAGTCACACTGAATAATCTATTGAAGGCTCTTATTGATTTAAATGTCACTCTCTTGCACCAATCGAATCTTCATCTACTCCAGCCCATATTTAATTACATTTTTACTTGCTGCAGAACACGTTGCCATCAGAGAGTAACTGCTGTTAGGAAGATGTCCCTGATGTCTGGGGTGCTGCTGTTTGAATCACTTCCCAATGCCCCATCTTAAGAAATCATTTTCTGAGCTTAATGAACGGGCAATGTGTGAAAACACAGGTAAAGACACACTAGTGTGTGCCCTAAATCATATTTCATATTCATAAAAAACACAGGACAGCTATTAAGATAAGATAAGAGAGATAAGAGTGTTGTGCCAGAGTAACAAAGACACAATAAACCCAGCAGCATAATAATAAAAGTAACAATTTAAAAAAAAACTACAATAA